TGGGAGTGTTGCTGCTGGGAGGGCTGCTGCTGGGAGGGTTGCTGCTGGCATTAACAAGGCGACGAGCAGCTTCTGAATCCCGCTAAGTTCCCTCCTCAACCCTTGCCATCCTTACCGCCGCTTTACCTTGTAATTCGTGTTCACATTTGCCCAGCCTCTCTTTTCAAGCATGCTTCGAACCAAAACGCCGCCTTCGCATGAAGGTATTAAAAACGTTCGCGTGGCGATGGTAGCACATGGCACTGGGGCGGCTTGAGCTCACACTAGAGTCCTAGAGGGTTAGAATGCACTCACACTCACGCCCGCGTCTCGTCCCCCTTGCCTGCTAGCTCGCCAACCTAGTGCCATGAGCTACCATCGCCTACCCTTTCACTGTGCCACCTGTTGTTTAACTTCCAGCTTTTACTCTCACAGTATTATGCCTCCGTTTTGTTTTGATCGCGCCCATGCTTATATATTAGACTAACTTCTTCAATTCCTGCCCCCTTCTGCCTTCTCTCCTCTCTCCCACTCGCTCCCTTCACTCCCCTAACCTTTCCCCCTCTCGCACAGGGCTGTGGCAGCGTGGTGCGGGGAGGGAGGGCGGTGGGATGACGCACGGCAGGCAGTCACAGCGGCGTGCGTGCCTCCTGCATGCCCTGCTGACCACGCCGCTCCCTCACGCGCCCAGCGACCTTGAGTGCTGCTGCTGGGAGTGTTGCTGCTGGGAGGGCTGCTGCTGGCATTAACAAGGCGACAACCAGCTTCTGAATCCCGCTAAGTTCCCTCCTCAACCCTTGCCATCCTTACCGCCGCTTTACCTTGTAATTCGTGTTCACATTTGCCCAGCCTCTCTTTTCAATCATGCTTCGAACCAAAACGCCGCCTTCGCATGAAGGTATTAAAAACGTTCGCGTGGCGATGGTAGCACATGGCACTGGGGCGGCTTGAGCTCACACTAGAGTCCTAGAGGGTTAGAATGCACTCACACTCACGCCCGCGTCTCGTCCCCCTTGCCTGCTAGCTCGCCAACCTAGTGCCATGAGCTACCATCGCCTACCCTTTCACTGTGCCACCTGTTGTTTAACTTCCAGCTTTTACTCTCACAGTATTATGCCTCCGTTTTGTTTTGATCGCGCCCATGCTTATATATTAGACTAACTTCTTCAATTCCTGCCCCCTTCTGCCTTCTCTCCTCTCTCCCACTCGCTCCCTTCACTCCCCTAACCTTTCCCCCTCTCGCACAGGGCTGTGGCAGCGTGGTGCGGGGAGGGAGGGCGGTGGGATGACGCACGGCAGGCAGTCACAGCGGCGTGCGTGCCTCCTGCATGCCCTGCTGACCACGCCGCTCCCTCACGCGCCCAGCGACCTTGAGTGCTGCTGCTGGGAGTGTTGCTGCTGGGAGGGCTGCTGCTGGCATTAACAAGGCGACAACCAGCTTCTGAATCCCGCTAAGTTCCCTCCTCAACCCTTGCCATCCTTACCGCCGCTTTACCTTGTAATTCGTGTTCACATTTGCCCAGCCTCTCTTTTCAATCATGCTTCGAACCAAAACGCCGCCTTCGCATGAAGGTATTAAAAACGTTCGCGTGGCGATGGTAGCACATGGCACTGGGGCGGCTTGAGCTCACACTAGAGTCCTAGAGGGTTAGAATGCACTCACACTCACGCCCGCGTCTCGTCCCCCTTGCCTGCTAGCTCGCCAACCTAGTGCCATGAGCTACCATCGCCTACCCTTTCACTGTGCCACCTGTTGTTTAACTTCCAGCTTTTACTCTCACAGTATTATGCCTCCGTTTTGTTTTGATCGCGCCCATGCTTATATATTAGACTAACTTCTTCAATTCCTGCCCCCTTCTGCCTTCTCTCCTCTCTCCCACTCGCTCCCTTCACTCCCCTAACCTTTCCCCCTCTCGCACAGGGCTGTGGCAGCGTGGTGCGGGGAGGGAGGGCGGTGGGATGACGCACGGCAGGCAGTCACAGCGGCGTGCGTGCCTCCTGCATGCCCTGCTGACCACGCCGCTCCCTCACGCGCCCAGCGACCTTGAGTGCTGCTGCTGGGAGTGTTGCTGCTGGGAGGGCTGCTGCTGGCATTAACAAGGCGACAACCAGCTTCTGAATCCCGCTAAGTTCCCTCCTCAACCCTTGCCATCCTTACCGCCGCTTTACCTTGTAATTCGTGTTCACATTTGCCCAGCCTCTCTTTTCAATCATGTTTCGAACCAAAACGCCGCCTTCGCATGAAGGTATTAAAAACGTTCGCGTGGCGATGGTAGCACATGGCACTGGGGCGGCTTGAGCTCACACTAGAGTCCTAGAGGGTTAGAATGCACTCACACTCACGCCCGCGTCTCGTCCCCCTTGCCTGCTAGCTCGCCAACCTAGTGCCATGAGCTACCATCGCCTCTCTGTTTTCACTGCATCCTTCCACCTTGTTTTCACTTCTGGATTCTTCCAGTTGCGCCTGCCTTTGCTTGTCGCTTGTGATTACCTTTCACTTCTTTATTCCATCCCTCGACCAGTTTCCTGCATGCCCTGGTTCCTGCTTTGTCGCTTTTTTCTCCCTCTCACCAGCCCATGCCCTGGTTCCAGGACAAAAGGAGTGGAACACTCAGGAGCAACACTCCGGGAGGCAGCACTTGAAGAGCGATACTCGACACAGGCGTGGCCCATCCAGCCTCTGGTTTGACATCCAGCATCAGCACTCGCTTCACATTCATGCATTTATCTGTTATTGCTTCAATACTCCTGTTTCCCCATTGTGCCCTTGATTTGCTCTCTCATTTCCTCTCCCTGCCTCTTTCACCTTCCCTACCTGCTCCCTCCACCAATCCCCCCTTCCTCTACCCATCCCCTCTCTCTCTCCCCATCTCTGTTGAGCAGCGTGAACTCAATTGGGGTGGAGGAATGCCTCGCAGCGTGAACTCAACTGAACTCAACTGGGGTGCTGCTGATGGCGCAGCGCAGTGCCACTCGTGAGTGTGATGACTCGCTGCCCTGGTGAGAAGCTTCATCTGGCAGCACTCGCTGCTCTGGTGAGAAGCTTCATCTGGCGGCACTCGCTGCTCTGGTGAGAAGATTCATCTGGCGGCACTCGCTGCTCTGGTGAGAAGCTTCATCTGGCGGCACTCGCTGCTCTGGTGAGAAGCTTCATCTGGCGGCACTCGCTGCTCTGGTGAGAAGCTTCATCTGGCGGCACTCGCTGCTCTGGTGAGAAGCTTCATCTGGCGGCACTCGCTGCTCTGGTGAGAAGCTTCATCTGGCGGCACTCGCTGCTCTGGTGAGAAGCTTCATCTGGCGGAATACAGGGCAGCGCCTAACTACAGGTACGCTAACCCCACTCTGACTACAGAGAGGAGGAGAGGGAGCAGACAACGTTACATGCAGAGGAGGAGATCTAGCTGGAGAGGGAGGAGAGGGAGCACAGGAGGACAGGCGTTCCTCCATGTTGAAGTATGTTCTGCCTTTCCATTCTGCTATCCTCCTTCTGTCAACTTGTTCCCGGTGTTCATAGTCTCCTGTCCTTTACTTCTGTTCTCTTGAAATCAAATTCCAGTGTTTATAGTCTCCTGTCTTCTGCCTTCTGTTCTCTTGAAACTCGCTCTTCATCTCAGGAGCAGAGGAGGATGCAGAGAGAGCAAAGCGGGAGAAAAATTGAGGGAGGAGATTTGCGATGCGGTAAGTCTCCTGTGATAGTCCCTTGGTCTTCGATGCTCTTCCATCATTTTCCATGCCCTGGACTTCGAAAGTCTTCCCTGGTCTTCACTCACGTATATCCGCCCCTCCCAGTCCGCTGTGTATGAACACACCTTCACCCTGTCTCTGTGCTTGCAGGATACCACACCACTGCAGCAGCTCCGCTTTGAAGCTGAGCTGGGGACCACGTGCTTGTAAGACGCAAGATGAAGAGCGTACCGTAAATGTTTGATAGGAGTAAAACTGCTATCTAGAGCAAATAGGAGTAGATAGGCTATCTAGAGTAGTAACACTCTCAGGTATGGTATCCCCCCATCTCCTCCTCCTTGACCAACCCTCCCACCCCTCCTTACTCCATCCCATCCCGTCCCCTCCGCTCCCCTCCAACCTCTCTCCCCCTTCGTAGGAATTTCCACCCTCCCCTCTCCCCCTGACCCGAATCCCACCCGCTGCGATGCCCCTCCCATCCCCATCCATTCCCCTGCCGGCCACCTCCCTCTGCGACCACTACCCCATGTGACCCACCCCACCTCAGCAACACCCTGCGTAGTACTAACCACAGGACTAAACACAGGGCTAACCACAGGACTAAACACAGGGTTGACCAGAGGACTAAACGCAGGGCTGACCACAGGACTAAACACAGGGCTGACCACAGGACTAAACACAGGGCTGACCACAGGACTAAACACAGGGCTGACCACAGCACTAAACACAGGGCTGACCACAGGGCTAACCACAGGGCTAACCACAGGACTAAACACAGGGCTGACCACAGGGCTAACACAGGGCTAACCACAGGACTAAACACAGGGATGACCACAGGGCTAACTGCAGGGCTGACCACAGGGCTGACCACAGGGCTGACCACAGGTCTTGTACCACGGGGCACACTATACACAGGGATTGTGACTCATGGCACGCTAAACACAGGGACTGTGCCTCGCAGCATGCTAACCACAAAGCTGCATGCAACCATAGAGAGAAATACCACTACTGGTTCGTCATTACACTGTCTGCTTCGTCAAAAGCTTTGTCGTGAAGGTTGACCTTGCAACCTGCCAGAAAGTGCCCAGAGGCAGACGGGTGGAGGAGCCTGGTGGTATGGTAACGTGTGTGCGACTGATCCCATACTAAGTACAATCACTCCACGACTTCCTTCTTATTTCAATTCATTGGATGGCGAGAGAACACGCACACTTATTGTGTAGAGCAAAACAAGATATACCGTGAAGCAGTTCAGATCATCAAGAATTTAAGCTATCATAGCACCAAACATTGACACATTCCAGCGTCAACACCTCTCCACGCGCGTCACTGTGACACTACACCTTCCATGATCGAGAACGTGTGAGGGCAGGCTGCTGCAGCTTCTTCTCTTCCTCCAATGCAATAATCCCAAGATGGCTCGGATCCTCTAGCATCATCTTGGCAACAAGGTAGCCTGCCACGCTCCAGGTCTGCTGCTTCCGTGCCTGCTTCCCAACATACCTTCCCAGCTTCCCATCGTAATACTCGGGCCAGCCGTCCTTGGCAAGGCGCCTCTCAATCACTTCAATGGCCCTCCGGGCCACGTGAGGGCGACCCACTTTGATGCTCGCAGCAGTGAGCATCCAAATCAGCACTGCACATCAACATAAAACAACAACACGGTGAGCTTATTGAGATGTAAGCTATTGTTTACATTCAGGAAAACATAGTATCTACGTGAAGACTGCAATGCGAGCCTACCTGGCCATGAGCCACCGTTGTGGTAGCTCCATCGGGTGTTCTTCGGGTCGCAGCCAGTGGTGATCCGCCAGTCATGGTTCTCAAGAGCAGGGTAAGCGATCTTGAGAGGCATCTCGCCCACCAGCTCGTCCCAGCGCTCCTCTATCAGGTCCATGATTGCTGCTGCCTGCTCTGGTGACGCCATGCAGGATACAATGGCCATGCAGTTCCCAAGGGCGAACCACCTGCATGAAAACACCTCCTCATAAGACCATCATTAAGTAAGACCACTATGTCACTGTAGATAGGAAGGATAGGACCTTTTTTTTCAGACAACTGGAAGATCAGTGCAAGCACCTGAAGTCCATGCGTGCAGGCGAGACATTCCCGATGAAGTAACCTCCCTTGAGTGGCATGAAGTCAAAGAGCCAGTCGGGGATGGACTCGGGGATGACGTTGAACTTGTTCACTGCGGTGTGGGAATACTCCTCTGTCTTGTACCGGTACACAGAGTTCAGCTGCTCGTGATCCAGCCTACATAAACATAGAACCATTCCAGGACAGTATAAGTCAAGCAGTACATAGGGCAGCAGCAGAATGACATTGAAGCATTAGCAGCACCAGGAAAATGATGCCGGCATGCTATAATGCGGACAGATGGAAAGCATAGCAGGAGCTGTGGTGTGCAATGAAGAGCTTTGTAACGGGATTGTGCAACCATACAGAACCAGGCAGTGAGGAAGAAGTGGGAGAAGGGCGAGCAGACCAGAAGTAGGTGCGCATGTGGTAGGAGAGCGCGATGAGGCGCTTGTCAATGCGCTCCAGCAGCTCCTTGTTCTCCGGCAGGTCAGGGCGCAGCAGGCAGCGCGCCACGCGCAGCGCCATGAAGAACATGGACTGGATCTCTATCGGGTATCCATAAATGCCCTGCGGATGGGAACGGAGTGTTTGGAGTGAGTGTAAGGAGTTTTGAGTAAACTCAAACTGTGGCAGGTCCGGATGCAGCAGGCAGCGCGAGTAAACTCCAAGCGCCATGAAGAACATGGCCTGCATCTCTATCGGGTACTCGTAGATGCCCTACGGATGGGAAGGAGTGGTGGGAGTGAGTGGAGTAGGTGGGAAGGATAAAGCAGCATTGCAGTAATACATCCATTCCAGGGCCATCCCAGGGTCCATAAGGTGTTCGAGATCTTGGCATGTAATTAATCCGGCACCTATGGGCTGTCTCACCATGCGTCGATCGATCATGGAGCATCCATCCGCGCACAGCAGCGTGGGGAAGGTGTCAAACCCATCCGCCAGGCACAGGCTGAGAATGAGCCGCATGCCACGCTGGCAGTCCGGGGAGTCCGCAAGAGACTGGTCACCTGCCATGCACGCACATCATCCAGCACACAATAATCACAAAAATCCTTGAATATGCCACTGACAACAGTTTTCCAGCACCATCACTCACTCCTGATTCGTGTAATGCTGCCAAGGGAACACACATGCTATACTGCTGAAGTGCTGGAGCACTGGAGTGCCAGTGTGTTCCTTTGTTGGACCTAATATGAAACTTACCAGTGGCCTTGACATAGGCCCGCAGCAGGATAATCCACCAGAAGCCGCTATCCACAGGCGCCACGCGCCCAATGGCGCTCTTTCCAAAGTCAGCCATCATGGTGTCCCCCTATAAACCCCCTATACATCGGCATGCACTTACTCCGGGAAAACAGCAGCGCACCCACCAGTGGCTTTCACATAGGCCCGCAGCAGGATGATCCACCAGAAGCCGCTATCCACAGGCGCCACTCGCCCAATGGCGCTCTCCCCAAAGTCAGCCATCATGGTGTCCACGCCCCGCCGGCTGTCGTGCAGCACCTTGAACGATGCTGGCATGACTCCCTCTCCCAGCGTGAACACGTCCACTCGCTTCTCCCACGATTGCTGTGGTAGGACAGAGTGAGGGATGAGGGCAGATTTTACAGCATGTGGGATGATTCACACGGCTGTCATGCAGTACCTTGAACGACGCCGGCATGAAACCTTCCCCTAGGGTAAACACGTCCACCCGCTTGTCCCAGGATTGCTGCGGTGGGATAGAGTGAGGGATGAGGGCACAGGAGGTAGCAGGTGGGATGATTCACATGGCTGTCGTGCAGCACCTTGAACGACGCTGGCATCACGCCCTCTCCCAGCGTGAACACGTCCACCCGCTTCTCCCAGGATTGCTGGGGTGGGACAGAGGAGGGGACACAGGGAGTACAGGGGCGCACAGGGGCGCACAGGGAGCAGCAGGTGAGATCCAAGGGACTCCTCTCTCCAGGTAACAGGGGGCGGGTGGCAGATGGTGCATGAAGCCACAGAGGCACAGCTGGTGTGAGTGAAAGGTGTGCCAGAGGCAAGGGGGGTAACAACAATAACCAGGAGTTAGCACTGGAAAACAGTGTAAGTCAGCCACACGGAACAGGGCATAAGAACAAACCACACTACACTAGAATTGTTTAGCAAGAAAAAAAAAAACTGGTTGAAAGAGAAAGTGGATGGGAAAGCCATACATTTGTAAACTAACTGGATCCCTTCACCAGAGCACTCCCCTGGTGCCCCTTCACAGTGCGAACAGAAACGCCGCCTGCGCACAGGAGAAAGCGCCGCCTAGTAATACCTGCAGTCGCAGCGTCTTGAGAAGGAAATTCTCCACAATCTCCGCCTCTCCGTTCATGAGGAATGCGAGCGCACTGGGGACGAAGTCACGCACGAACACCTGCACGGGAAGATGCGTCCACACAGATACAGGAACCAGCAGGTTGATATAGATGATCCTGAATGATCCTGCAAGGAATAGGTTATGTAGACCACGCCTGCTGCAGATAAATTAAGGGACAGTTGAGAATGGTGATGGTGCAACAGACAGAAAGGCAAAAAGACAGGCAAAAAGCCCCCCCCTCAATCTCCTTCCCCCAACCCTCCGCACACACACCTGGTCGTAGTTAAGAGCCGTTTCAGAGGGGTCCAGGGCAGCGATGGTGCCCACAGGGCGGCCGCGGAAGAGCACCTGAGACACGCGCAGCGCATCCCACGCCTCCAGCACCATGGGGTCCACCTGGAACGCTGCTGCTGCTGCTGCCGCCGCTGCCGATCGCCCCGCTCCGCTGGGCGTGGTGAATCCCGACCGCATGCTGTCATATGTATGGACGGATGGAGAGGATCGGATATAAGGAGATGTGTGAGAAAGCGACTGAGGTAGTCATGGAAGGAATGAAAGATTAGTGCAGGAGACTTCACTGACGACTTAAAAGGGTACAATTATGCTAGAAATTAACGAGATTCGGGTGATGTGACAGGTGGGAGATACCTTGGTGGTGTCAAATAACGCGGAGATGGTAAGACGGAACGACGACCACCACCCCTGAAAAGCAGGTCAAAAGTTTTGTTTTTTACAACACAGATGTACAGAGCATGGATGTATTGCACGTGAAATAAGTACGCACTAATCTGTACCTCTCAAGCTAAATAAACGCATAGCCGTATCCTTCTCCCAAGTATGGCAAGTGAATAAGTATCTCGTAGGCATACTAACCGGATCTGGCATTCTACTAGAGGCTCGTAAACCATGATCTTACGACTTACCCTGGAGTACGGCGTTTTGGTGAGCTGTTGGCCGACCTTGCCCTGTAATGCGCAGTCGGACGATAGCAGATGTATAAAGATTAATAATTAAAGTGGCACGTGTAACCAGTAGAAATAAATCGAAGCAATTCGCTTCATAAATGACTGATTCTTGACGTGTGAAATCGGTTTCTCAACTCACAAAGGTGTGGCGTCTGCCTTGTCTGCGTGGATCTGCTTCCCCTTGTCACCACTGAGGGATACACTAGCTGCAGCAGCTGCTGCCGCCACCACCTGGGCTTTGGTCTTCCGATCCGCGGATTCCCACACATGGAGGGGCGGCTGAAACACATTACACACATAAATCAATCAAATGTGCGAAAAAGGTAGCAATATCTTGCAAAATCACGACGGAAACATCAACTAAAACGAGTAGCAGGCAGATCTCACAGATGCGATTCGATCTGCATGTTTTCACCTGATTGAGGCTCACAGACAGCTTCTTCACGCGAGCCTTGAGCCGACTAGGACGCTCCCGCTCCTCTTCCGTCTCACTCGCCGACTGCGAGTCTCCTCCGTGCGCGTGCGCAGTCACATCGTTCTGCATCTGGATCTTTCCTTTGGCAAGGAGAGTCGACGGCGAGCTGGACGCATCATCTCCGTCGGCAACGGAGTTGGGAATGTTGGCGTGGAAATCTGGGCCATTGTCATGCGTTTTGTTGTCGTAATCCAGTTGGATAAAAACCTCCTCAATTGTTGATGATGACGGTGTAAATTCGCGTCCTTTCCTTTGCGCTGGACTGCCGTTCATGGCAGTGACAGATCCAGAATTTCCTGCAAACACAGCACAGTTCACGTCAGTAATACATGCCATTTGTCGAAGAGAATACGAGAGTCGAATCTGATATTGAACCGCGTTGAAAGTCCGGGGTTTTACCAACTGAAGCGGGATCAGCGCAGGAATGCAGCGAGCAAGGAGCCGACGTGACATGGACGATAGAGCCTGAGCTTTTCCTTGTCTCATGATCCTCAGCCACAGAAACCTCAGGCTGAGCCTGGTCACCTTGACGCTCTTCCGCGTCGACAGACACTTCCCGAGAAATTGGAGTGAAAACTCCGGCCATTTTCGGGGTGACTGCCTCTTGATGAAGATCGCTTGAACGGTGAAGTCGATGCGGCATGTAAGAAATTTGGTTGCAGATCCCCAAGTTGTGGGATAAAAGAACCCGTTAAAGAAACACGAGGATCCAAACGCAACAAAGAATGAGGAAAAAGCGGGAAAAGAAATGAGAGTTCACGTTAGAGGAGAAAGCCTCAGTCAAACAAACCCACGACTTCAGCTGCCTATTCTCGCTCTGCTGCCTCGTATTGCTGAAAAGGAGGATGCCAGTGTGTCTGCTTGGGGTGCTGGTGCTTGCTGAGGTGATGGTGGAGGGGAGAGGTGCCAGTCAGGCGGAAGAAGCGAGGTGGATCACGCAGCATGGAGCTGTGGCCGTTGGATGAGGATGTGTATGAGATGAATGGTGGTGGATGATCCGGCGCGCTTCGAAGATGATATCTAGGAATTGTACGCATTTTGTTTGATCCGTTATTATCGTAATCACCACAATTCGTTGACAATCTGCTATAACAGCTTGAAGGTCCATTTTGGTTTGCTTCGGTGAAAGGTGTCGCGCAATTATTGTCGGGTCATCGTTGATACACTTCTGCATTTATTACATTGCAGGGCCCAATATGCACATGCGCACGCAATGCATGCCAGACACTTGCTCCGCTAGTACGTGACATGACGCAGCTGGATTCGGTAGCGAATGGTGTACAGTTCGGTACCTTCTGGAGAAACTCGGACTTGGCGATGTTTCCTTCCCCAACACCGAGGAAATTCCATCGTGGTGGGTTTGATCAGGCATTTGCTTCTGGTCTGGTTCAGCCTGCCACTGGCGTTGTTCTGCAGGCAGGTGGCATTGGCATGGCAGCGGCATCAATTTCTGCCGCCAGAAACTTCTCTAGGCGCTCGAAGCACTTTCCCTGTTTGGGAAATTTCGCATTTCGGCTGAGGAAAGCGGGGGCCCGAGAAGTGAGACTTCCGCCCCCTGTTGCAAAAATTTCGTCACGGGCTGTGTAGAAAATTTAGCAGCAGGTTGTGCCATGGTTGGGTAAAAAGCGATCGGAAAACGAAAAGCCAACCGGCCCCCACAAACCTCTGATTAGGGTTTCGAACCTCTGGTACCAAGGGTGCCTTTGGTGGTTGTTTTCTTTTCAGCAGAGCGAGTTAGCGGTTGTCCCAACTGGCCGATGCCTCTGCCATCTCGTGGCAAACCACCTCTCTGGGGTGGTTTGCCACGGGGTGGCATAGGCACCACAAAATGCCCGAGAGGGAAAGCGCTGTGAGGTTTCGAACCCAGGTGATGCCGTCGCCAAAAGGCATGTTCTGCAGCCAACGCCATTCTGACGGCATCAACAGAGATGAAACAATTTTTTGGGCTGCCCCCCAAAATGTCAACGCTTTGGCAGCATCGTGGCACATTCCTCCGACGGCATCGAGTGCCTGCAGAACAGCGCCACTGTGATCATTTTTATCTGTGATTATTGCGCTTCAACAGATTTGTCATCAGTTCACTCCATCCACATCCGTGCCAATTTCGTTGGCACGACGTCTTACATTTCAACCTTCTTCCCCGCGGCTCTCTCTGCAGTGTAATCATCTGTTTGGCAGCCATGAAAGACATCAAGCAGATAATTGAGGAGAACGTTGTCGTCGTCTTCAGGTGCTTACGTCTCCCGTTGATTAGCCGTCGTCATCCATTTCCTTGAATTTCATGGAATTTTCACATTGCATTCAATCCGTATGTCGCCTCCGTTTTCTCCACCCGTTTCGCACCTTGCAGCAAGACTTACTGCCCGTATTGCATCCGCGTTAAGCAACTCCTGACTAAACTCAAAGCCAAATTCAAGGTAACCTGTCGATTGATATACAGCCGTGGCACATGGGCCGCTACCTTATTAAGCAAATTTCTGCTCACTCACGCGAACGCCGTCGCAACTGGCCTTTTCATCTTCCCTTATTACGTTTCCGTTCCTTTTCATATCGCTCGTTCTGTCCTCTCGTTGTCTTGTCGAAACAGGCAATTGAGCTCGATCTTGACCCCGAGGGAGCCGCGATGCAGCAAGCACTCGCACAGATGACTGGTCAGCGCACCGTGCCTAGCGTGTTTATCAATAAGCAACACATTGGTGGATGCGACAGTAAGTAATCCTTTCCGAATTTCCTATGTGTCTACCCTATCAACCATAGTCACGCTGCCTAGTGCCGCCCAGTGGCCAGTGCTGCTGCTGCCCCTGCTGCTCCTGCTGCTCCTGCTGCTACCACTGCTGCAGCTGTCTGTTAACCGTTTATCCTGCTCTCTTCCACCGTCCCTGCTGCTTTTTTGCAGACACAGAGGCTTTGAATCGGCAAGGGAAGTTGGTGCCCTTATTGGAGGCGGCAGGTGCTGTGTGAGCTGCTGGAGTTGAGAGATAGTTGCTTTGGAATATCCCTATTAGGCTAGAACCCTGGTTGTGCGGTGCCTTTAAAGTTGAATAGGCACACCCACCCGTGTGTGTGCTTATAGGCCCCTCAGTGTAGATATTGTAACTGATGGATGCTTGGATTGTACTGGCAGTTTACTAGTGCTGCTGGTGATGAGCCTCGTTGACCAGTCCAATATCATTCAGGATTAGAATGAATCTATTGTATTAAAAAAGAAAGTGTTCAGATTTCAAGATTGCACATTGGTGGACACAGGCTGGTACCTGCATGACAATCAGATGGTTGAATATGAAAGCTGCACCTGCTGTGTTCAGCTAGCACCATTTCAGGTACCATTCGCCCCTGGAAACAAATACATGGGCACATGAGACGCCACTATCAAGACTAGCACCTTGCTTTTTACCTGTCAACACTACCGCGGTCTATTCCTCTGCTTTGCAAACCTGAGCATGGTATGGCAGCACCAACGCCTTCAATATGCATTGGCATCAGGATCTGGAATAACCTTCATGTCACTCATGTCCAGAATCCTGCAACAAGCGCACACAAAATAAGCTTCATAAGTACCCATACACAGTAAGCCGAATTGACTCAACACAACCTGCAAGGAGGGTGCACTAGTAGATGACCAAAGGAATTGGCAAGCAGGACAGTGCATGAGGTAGGACTTTTGGTACCTCCAGGGCAGCTGCGAGGTGTCAAAGTGCGTGCGCGGCTCGTCCACATGCTATCTCTGAGACGTCTCACAGCATGACATGAGAGGTCACAATACAATGAGGGAGACCGTACCTCCAGGGCAGCTGCGAGGTGTCAAAGTGCGTGCGCAGCTCGTCCACATGCTGCAGTGCCTCCCTGCACTCCTCCCGGTCGTCAAAGTATGTCTTCTCCTGCCCCACTATCTGGTACGTCTCATGGCCCTTCCCCGCCACCACCTGTGAATGCGGTGGGAATGAGTGGGTGTGAGAGAGTGAGCGAGTGAGAGAGAGAGAGACGGTGACAGGTGGGGGTTTAGTGGGGAGTGGAGGAACAGGCCCAGACAGGACACCTAGATGGTCATTCCTCCCTGCCAAACAATCTTCCTATTCTTCACGACATAATCCCACATACTCCACTGCACATCCCCTCCTTCCTCTTGGACTTCTTTCCCACTCCTACCTCCCCAGCCATTCCACCCTCCCCAACTCCCTCCGTTCCTCCAGTTCTCCCCCCAGCACGTACCACAGCGTCGCCATCATCAGCCATGGCGATGGCAGCGCGCACAGCAATGCCGCGGATGTCATACACGTAGAGGCGGTTCCCCGAGGGCAGCGGGGGGATGAACCCCGCCTGGTTGTACTCTATGTACTCCTCCATGCTCCACCCCACTCCCGCTAGCATGTCATCCAGTATGCCCACTGCATGGCACGCAGGGATGAGAGTCATAAAGGTGGGGAAGGGCGGTGAAAGAAGGGTACAGGGAAGGAACACGGCACTCTATGTACTCCTCCATGCTCCACCCCACGCCTTCCAGCATGTCGTCTAGAATGCCCACTGCGTGGTGTGGCATGGAGGGGAAAGAGACACGTGGGCAAAGGAGGGCGGTGAAAGGAGGGATGGGACAGGGGGAATGGAGAGAAGACACTCAACGTGCTTCTCCGTGCTCCACCCCACTCCTGCCAGCATGTCGTCCAGTTTGCCCACTGAAGAACAAAAGGCATAAGAGGAAGCACGGGTGGGGGAAGGGAGTCATGAGGCCTGCAGAAAAGGAAGAGTTAGTTATCAGAATGGCTGACTGCGGGAGGAGGAGGAACAGTGTGTGGAAGAGAAGGTGGAAGCCTTACAGGGGTCCTCAGTGCGAGGGTTGTCGGATGTGAGTATGGTGACATCGCTCTTCTCCGCTGCTATCTTGGCCATCATCGGCCTCTTGCCGCGGTCCCTGTCGCCCCCACACCCCACCACTGGTGCCCGGCATTGGGGTAGAAGGGATGGGAAAGGGGGAGAAGGGATGGGAAAGGGGGAGAAGGGATGGGAAAGGGGGAGAAGGGATGGGAAAGGGGGAGAAGGGATGGGAAAGGGGGAGAAGGGATGGGAAAGGGGGAGAAGGGATGGGAAAGGGGGAGAAGGGATGGGAAAGGGGGAGAAGGGATGGGAAAGGGGGAGAAGGGATGGGAAAGGGGGAGAAGGGATGGGAAAGGGGGAGGGAAAGGGATGGGATGGAAAGGGGGAGAAGGGATGGGAAAGGGGGAGAGGGAGAAGGATGGAAAGGGGGAGAAGGGATGGGAAGGGGGGGAGAAGGGATGGGGAAAGGGGGAGAAGGGATGGGAAAGGGGGAGAAGGGATGGGAAAGGGGGGAGAAGGGATGGGAAAGGGGGAGAGAGAAGGATGGGAAAGGGGGAGAAGGGATGGGAAAGGGGGAGAAGGGATGGGAAAGGGGGAGAGGGATGGGAAGGGGGAGGAGAGGGATGGAAAGGGGGAGAAGGGATGGGAAAGGGGGAGAAGGGATGGGAAAGGGGGAGAAGGGAGGGATGGGAAAGGGGGAGAAGGGATGGGAAAGGGGGAGAAGGGATGGGAAAGGGGAGAGAGACGGGATGGGAAGGAAAGGGGGAGAAGGGATGGGAAAGGGGAGAAGGATGGGAAAGGGGGAGAAGGGATGGGAAAGGGGGGAGAAGGGAGGGAAAGGGGGAGAGGGATGGGAAAGGGGGGAGAAGGGATGGGAAAGGGGGAGAAGGGATGGGAAAGGGGGAGAAGGGATGGGAAAGGGGGAGAAGGGATGGGGAAGGGGGAGAAGGGATGGAAAGGGGGAGAAGGGATGGGGAAAGGGGGAGAAGGGATGGGAAAGGGGGAGAAGGGATGGGAAAGGGGGAGAGGGATGGGAAAGGGGGAAGAGGGATGGGAAAGGGGGAGAAGGGATGGGAAAGGGGGAGAAGGGATGGGGAAAGGGGAGAGGGGAGAAGGGATGGGAAAGGGGGAGAAGGATGGGAAGGGGGAGAGAAGGGATGGGAAAGGGGGAGAGGGAGAAGGGATGGGAAAGGGGGAGAAGGGATGGGAAAGGGGGAGAAGGGATGGGAAAGGGGGAGAAGGGATGGGAAAGGGGGAGAAGGGATGGGAAAGGGGGAGAAGGGATGGGAAAGGGGGGAGAAGGGATGGGAAAGGGGGAAGAAGGGATGGGAAAGGGGGGAGAAGGGATGGGAAAGGGGGGGGAGAAGGGATGGGAAAGGGGGAGAAGGGATGGGAAAGGGGGGAGAAGGGATGGGAAAGGGGGAGAAGGGATGGGAAAGGTGGAGAAGGGATGGGAAAGGGGGAGAAGGGATGGGAGGGGGGAAGAGAGGGATGGGAAAGGGGGAGAAGGGATGGGAAAGGGGGAGAAGAAGGATGGGAAAGGGGGGAGAAGGGATGGGAAGGTGGGAGAAGGGATGGGAAGGGGGGGAGAGGGATGGGAAAGGGGGAGAAGGGGGATGGGAAAGGGGGAGAAGGGATGGGAAAGGGGAGAAGGGATGGGAAAGGGGGGGAGAGGGATGGGAAAAGGGGGGAAGGATGGGAAAGGGGGAGAAGGGATGGGAAAGGGGGAGAAGGGATGGGAAAGGGGGAGAAGGGATGGGAAAGGGGGAGAAGGGATGGGAAAGGGGGAGAAGGGATGGGAAAGGGGGAGAAGGGATGGGAAAGGGGGAGAAGGGATGGGAAAGGGGGAGAAGGGATGGGAAAGGGGGAGAAGGGATGGGAAAGGGGGAGAAGGGATGGGAAAGGGGGAGAAGGGATGGGAAAGGGGGAGAAGGGATGGGAAAGGGGGAGAAGGGATGGGAAAGGGGGAGAAGGGATGGGAAGGTGGAGAAGGGATGACGGAGGGAACAGGCAAACGAGGTGGTTTAAAGGTTGGGATGAAAGTGGTGGGGGAGAATTGGTGGCAGGAAGCGAGGAGGGAGGAAGTGACGGGGAAGGAAGTGAAGAAGGAGGAAGCGAGGGTGAAAGAAATGAGGGGGGGGAGGAGAGGGAGAAATTGAGGGGGGACAAAGCGAGAGGGATAAATCGACCGTATCCACCAGTCATCTGCGCAGCACAGCTCCTAGCCCTGCCCATCACCCACGCATCTGTGATGATCCGTCGCGGCCCGCACTCCCATATCGTATCCAGCAGCCGACTCAGCACGTCAGGCGTATGAGCGTAGTCCACGGCGACAGCAAACGTCCACCAGCTCTACCCACCCACCACGCACGCACCTGTGATGATTCGCCTTGGCCCGCACTCCCTGACTGTATCCAGCAGTCGACTGAGCCCATCAGGCGTGTGAGCATAGTCCACCACCACAGTAAACGCCTGCTCATCATCTACAAGCTCTGCCCGCCCCGCCCCGGCACGGCACGGCACGGCACACGCCTGAACCCACCACCCACGCACCTGTGATGATCCGTCGGGGCCCGCATTCTCGAACAGTGTCAAGAAGTCGACTCAGTGCATCAGGCGTGTGAGCATAGTCCACCACAACAGCGAACGCCTGCTCCTCGTCCACCAGCTCGGCCCGCCCCGGTATGGGATGGCACAGCATGCACCTAAACCCATCACCCACGCACCTGTGATGATTCGCCTTGGCCCGCACTCTCGAACCGTATCCAGCAGCCGACTGAGCGCATCCGGCGTGTGAGCATAGTCCACCACCACAGCAAACGCCTGCTCCTCATCTACAAGCTCTGCCCGCCCCGGCACAGCGTCCACCTCCTCCAAGCCTCGCACGAGCGCCTCTAAGGGGGCGTTGATGGCGATGCCGACGGCTACCGCTGCCAGGATGTTGGACACGTTGTGACGGCCCAGCAGACCGGAAGAGATCTCCAGGTCGCCCTGTAGGGAGGGAGAGAGGGGAGAGGAGGGGAGGAGAGGGGGAGAGGGGTGAACAAGGGGGTAGGAGCGTGCTTTTGAGGTGAGTGGCTGGATTTTCCCCTTCCCCCCCCCTTCCCTCCCCACACCATTGAGACGCATCAACAGTCTTCCTGCACCCTCCCTGTGGCTCTCTTCCCTCCCTCTCCCATTCCCCTCCCCCTCTTCCCCTCCTCAACCCCAACCCCCCCACGCCTCTCCCCATCATTACTCACCCGCGGCGTGCGCACGAGCAGCTCGGTCTCAAAGAGCGAGAGGGCGACCTCGAGAGCATGCACGTCCGCCTGCGTGTTCTCCAGCGAGAATGTCACCGTTGGCACGTCTGCCCCGCCACGTGCCATGAAGAAGGCCGCGTGGGGTCGTCCAGATTCACCACCTGGGGAGGGCGGCGGGCGCAGAGGCAAAGCGGGGAGTGGGGAGGTGGGAAGTGGAGAGATGTGAGACAGTAAGTGGGTGAGAAGGCACGTCTGCCCCGCCACGTGCCGTGAAGAAGGCCGCGTGCGGGTCGTCTAGATTCACCACCTGGGGTGAGGGGAGAAAGGAGGGGAACAGGGAGCGGAAACGGGAAGGAAAGGGTAAGAGGGGGGGGGGCAAGGGCGAGGGAAAAAGAAAAGGAGAAAGGTGAGAGTGGGGAGGAATAACCCACCCACCACCACATCCGCCCGTCTGTCATCCCACCCACCCACCCACCCACCCCCACCCCACACCCATCACCCATCACCCATCACCCATCGCACCTTCCTGTGGCGTGTGGGGTCCGTCATGGCATCAAACAGCCTGGCCTTGGCATCCCGATACGCCTCCATGGTCCCATGAAAATCCAAATGATCACGCGTGAGGTTAGTAAACACAGCGACGTCAAAGTCGATGTCCTCCACTCGCCCCAGCGTGAGCGCGTGGCAGTGCGTGCCTACCTGGTTCTGGGTCTGGCCTGGACCTTTCAGCAGCAGCCATCCCAACCAACCCATCCCTTTCACCCTTCCCCAACAGGGCGAGTGCATCACCCCAATCAGTGAGGGGCGAGTGCATCACCCCAATCAGTGAGGGGCGAGTGCATCACCCCAATCAGTGAGGGGCGAGTGCATCACCCCAATCAGTGAGGGGCGAGTGCATCACCCCAATCAGTGAGGGGCGAGTGCATCACCCCAATCAGTGAGGGGCGAGTGCATCACCCCAATCAGTGAGGGGCGAGTGCATCACCCCAATCAGTGAGGGGCGAGTGCATCACCCCAATCAGTGAGGGGCGAGTGCATCACCCCAATCAGTGAGGGGCGAGTGCATCACCCCAATCAGTGAGGGGCGAGTGCATCACCCCAATCAGTGAGGGGCGAGTGCATCACCCCAATCAGTGAGGGGCGAGTGCATCACCTGTGAGAAGAAAAGTTAGAAAAGAAGTTATTGATGGATTGAGGAGAATGGGGGTTTACATAGGGAATGGGTTGGATCCTAGCCTAGGTGAGCATTATTGGACCCCACCCATGAAGTTGGGTTGGGGGATTATTGGTGGGGTCCAATAATGTTGGCCAAGTTGGGGTTGGGCCAACATTATTGGTGTGAACCAATAATTCTACCCAACCCAACTTTTGAGGTCCAATAATTGGACCAAGGTTGGGTTTCCAACCTACAAATTGGGTAACCCCTGCTTGTACACCCAAACTAAGTTTGGGTGCTTATCTCTAGCCTATCCTATAACATCTATGCAGGTTACAAGAGAAGATAGATTCTAACACAACCCCTTAACCTGCAGAGATGTGGAAAGGCTTGAGTGAAGCAACCCCTGAATCAAGGCGCGCCCGGGGGAGCGAGGCCGATGAGGCGGAGAAGAGCAGAGTGCGCAGGGCGAAGAAGTGCTTTGGTGAAGATATCTGCCAAGTTGGCTTCAGCGGCGATCTTACGAACGGCAATGAGATTCTGTTGGACGAGTTCACGGATGAAGAAATAGCGGAGCTCAATGTGCTTGGAGCGACCGTGAAAAACGGGGTCTTGAATGAGATGGATGGTGCTGGCATTGTCACACCAGAGGGTGGGGCAGCGCTGGGGAACACCAAGCTCAGCCAGGAGGAAGCAGAGCCAGCGGGACTCTTGCGCGGCCATGGTGCCAGCATAGAGCTCAGCTTCACAGGAGGAGAGGGCGATGGCGGAGGAGCGAGTAGAGCGCCAGCTGATGAGGCCGCTGCCGAGGGTGAAGCCATAGCCTTGGGAGGAGCGGCGGTCTGGCTGGCAGTCTGCCCAGGAGGAGTCGCTGAAGCCAGAGAGAAGGGGGGGGGAAGATCCACCCAGTGTGAGAGCGTGGTCCCTGGTGCCACGAAGATAGCGGAGGACTCGCTTGGCGGCAGTCCAGTGTTCCTCAGTGTGGCGGCCGGGGCCGACGAATCGAGCAAGGACGCTGACAGGGTAGGCGAGGTCGGGACGAGTGCACATCATCGCGTACATCAATGACCCAACAAGCTCGGCGTAGGGCCGGGAGGAGGTGGAGGGGGAGGTGGGTGGCGCAAGCTGGTGACCGAAGGGGAGGGGTGTGGAGACTGGTTTGGCCTGTGCCATCTCGAACTTTTCCAGGACCTGGCCGATGTAGTGGGACTGGGAGAGGGTGATGGTGCGGGCGGATCGATCACGAGTGATAGCCATGCCGAGGTAGTTCTGCAGCGGACCAAGGTCCTTGCACTTGAGACGTTCCTGAAGAGACCGTTTCACTTGATCCATGTCAGTCCTGGTGTCAGCGAGCAGGATCATGTCATCGACGTAGACCGAGATGAAGAAGCGACTGGGGGAAGAGCGGATGAAGAGGCTGGCGTCGGAGTGGGAGGGGGAGAAGCCAAGGGACTGGAGAGTAGCAGACAGCTTCGCATGCCATTCTCGTGGTGCCTGCTTCAGGCCGTAGACCGGTCGCTTCAGCTGCCAGACGGTGTTGTCGGGGAACGTAGCATGGAACCCGGGAGGTCGGCGGAGAAAGATGCGTTCGTGCAGTTCACCTTGCAGGAAAGCGTTGGAGACGTCCATGGAGTCAATCTCCATGTCGTCCCGCGCACCGATATCCATAAGGGTGCGTAGGGTGGCTTGCCTGAGGGTGGGGGCAAATGTGAACCAGTAGTCCTCAGCCCAGGTCTGGGTGAACCCCTTAGCAACATAGCGGGCTTTGTAGACTGGTTCCTCTCCCGGCAGCTGTTCCACTTGCTCTTGACAAGGTTGGCGTCAGGGGGAAGGGGAACGTCGATAAAGGAGTCGTTGCGGATGAACGCCTCACATTCCAGGAAGATAGCGGCTATCCACTTGTCAGCGTCAGGGCAGGTGATAGCCTCCTGGAAGGTGGTGGGGACGAAGATGGTGGGAGCGGAGATCGCGCTAAGGAGTAGAGCGCCGAGGAGGAGGTCGGGGGTAGAGGGTGGAAAGAGAGGGAGTGTGGCGCTGGACCATGGCGAACTCCTCATGGGAGTCCTCGAGCTGGCTGAGGGAGGAAGGTGGCGGAGTGCCAAGGATGGGATCAAGAGAGCGGGTGTGCATGCGAGGGAGGAGGAAAGGTGAGGAGCGGGCAGTTGCCCTCTGCCGCTGTTGCTGCTGGTGCTGCTGGAACCCCTGCTGCTGCTGCGGCTGCTGCCCCTCCTGGTGCTGCTGCCCCTGCGGCTGCTGCTGCTGCTGCTGCTGCGGCTGCTGCTGCTGCCCCGGCTGCTGCTGGTGCTGCTGCTGTTGTTGCTGCCCCCGCTGTTGCTGCCCCTGCGGCTGCTGCTGCTGCTGCTGCGGCTGCTGCTGCTGCCCCTGCGGCTGCTGCTGCTGCCGCTGCTGCTGCCCTTGTGGCTGCTGCTGCTGCTGCTGCTGTTGCGGCTGCTGCTGCTGCTGCGGCTGGTGCTGCTGCTGCTGCTGCTGCTGCCCCTGCGGCTGCTGCTGCTGCTGCTGGGATGGATGAGAAGGAGAGTGGGAAGGAGAGGAGGGAGGGGGAGCCGCGGAGTGTGCAGGGGATGCTGGAGCAGTGGGATCGTAGATATCGGCAGATGAAGGTGGCGGAAGCGGGGTGGGGAGGGGTGGGAGAAGAGGTGCTGGAGGGAGGAGGGGAGGGAGGACAGTGTCGGTCCAAGCGAGAGGACGTGTAGGAGGAGGGAGGGGGTCTGGTGGTGGAGAGGAGTAGTATGGGGTGGTCTCATCGAACACAACGTCGATGCTGCGGATGAGGCGACCAGAGGGAGGGTGGAGGAAAAGGTAACCAGGCGAGTCGCGGTTGTGGCCAAGGTAGACACACTCGAGGGCACGAGGAGCGAGCTTGCCGTGGGTCCGTTCAGATGGAGGGATGAGCACATATGCCTTGCAACCCCAGACACGGAGTCCAGCAGCGTCAGGTTTGGACCCTGACCAGAGCTCCGTGGGGGTAGTGGCAGTGTGTTGGGGATGGGAGTGAAGGTTGAGGAGGAGGGAAGCATGAAGGAGGGCATAGCCCCAGAGAGAAGGGGGTGTGGAGGCGTGAGCGAGGAGACAGCGGGCGATCTTAGTGATTTCGCGGATGCGGCTTTCTGCGATGCCGTTCTGCTGTGGGGAGTGGGGAAGAGTGTGGGTCTGTTGGATGCCATGAGTGGTGCAGTAGTGAGAGAGAGTGCGATTGAGGAATTCGCCTCCCCCATCAGAGTGGAGGCGGCCGATGGGACGTTTGAAGTGGGTGCGGCATTGTTCTGCCCAGTGAATGATCATGGTCGGCGCCTGATCTTTTGTGTGGAGGAGGAAAACGGTGGAGTAGCGGCTATGATCGTCAACAAGAACCAGCATGTAGCGATGGCCTTGGCGTGAGCGGGTGGGAGAGGGCCCCCAGAGGTCCATATGGACAAGGTCAATGGGTGCAGGAGCAAAGGAGGGGTGGCTGTGATGAGGGGATTGTTTGAGTTTGCCGTGGATGCAGGAGGGGCATGGGGGGGCCGGGGAGGAGGGAAGGGGAGGAAGGGTGGGAGGGAGGCTGTGAAGGAGTCGTGAGGTGACGGCAGTGCGGAGAGCGGCGAAATTGGGATGACCGAGTCGGTGATGTAGGAGAACAGCGGGGTGGGAGAGATGGTCGGAGGTGGAGGGGGCTGGAACGAGTGAGGGCGGGATGAAGGAGTGGGGGGATGGTGGAGTGGGAGGGGAGGGAGGGAGATGGGGAGGGCTAGTGGAGGTACTCGCACGAGTGGTGACATGACAGGAGGATGGCCACGGAGTGCGGAGAGTGTAGAGGCGAGTGCGGGGGCAGAGGGGTATGCGGAGGAGGAAGCGGCCGGAGGAGGAAGCGGCCGGAGGGAGTATGGTAAAGGTCACAGTAGGTGGCATTACCAGGATAGACCGCAGTGATACCTGCACCTTGGATTTCACGGTGGGAGAGGAGGTTGTTTCGGAGAGTGGGGATGTGGAGACCAGTTACCTTACCAGAGGGGAAGAGTGAGCAGGGGAGAGTGGAGAGGTGTGTGCATGGGATGGTGAAGCTGCTGTCAGCGCCGTGAACGTGAGTGGGAGGGGAGAGGGGTGTGAGTGTACCAGCATCTTTGAGAGCAGTTTCAGTGGCCCCACTGTCTAGGACAAAGTCCAGAGTGGGCGAGGAGGAGGAAGACACGGAGTACTGGAAAGTGGTTTCATTAATGTTGGATGGGTACATGGAAGGAAGAGAGGGTGAGACAGAAATGTTGCCAAGAAAGCTTTCCTGAGTGAGAGGGGTGGCAGTGCCACTGGGGGGGGGGTGGAGCACCCCAAAGGGGAGCCGGGGAGGCCTGGGCGGCCATGGCTGCTGTGCCAAAGTTTAGCTGCTGCTGCTGCCAGGGAGGAGGGCTGGGTCCCCACTGGGGCTGGGGCCCTGATCCCCATGGGTGCTGCTGCTGCGGCTGTGGGTAAAACAGCTGCTGTAACTGCTGCTGCTGCTGCTGCTGCTGCTGCTGCAGCTGCAGGAGGTGCTGCTGCTGGAGGTTGAGGAAGGGCGCGGGGGGAGCAAGGAGGCGGAGGTGGGCAGGGAGGTAAGCGGGGTTGGTTTGGATGTCAGTGGGGGAGGGACGTGGGGAAATTGTTGCCCACTTTGGAGGATTGCCAACGTTGCCTCGTGCTTACCATGCATCATCGAGGGCCTTGAAGCAGGTGGCAGGAGGGTGGTTGGTCTGTCCGCAGGGGGTGCCAGCCCGGGGACCATAGCGGCGGACATAGGTGCAGGGCGGAAGAGTACCAGGGCGGGTCCCACTGCTTGCAGGGGCTCCGCCTGTATTGGGGGTGCCATGCTCATCTCCAGTGGTGCCGCTGCGTCTGTTCGCGTTGCTGCTGCCTTGACCGCTACCTCCCTTGCCTTCACCACCCCCCCTGCCGTTGTTCTTGCCCTGCTTGCGGGGCTGAGTAGCGTTGAGGGAGGAGGAGGAGGGTTGGGAGGAGGCGAGGTTGACGACGGGGGTGCGAAGTTTGACTTCGGTGTCTATGATCCACTGTTCAACGGAGGCGAGATCGGCTAGGGGATTGGCCTCGGTAAAGGCGTGAAGGCGGGATTCATAGTCGGGAGTGAGGTTAAACAGGAGGCGATGGATTTGGAGGGGTTCGGAGAGGCCGGCTTGGCGGGCTTCGAGACGATCAGCTACCTCCCGCATGCGTCCGATGTAGTCGACCGCTCCGTCACAGGTAGCAAGGGTGATTGAGAAGTATTCTTGGAACAGGATACCGACCGAGCTGATGTCGCGGCGTTCGAACATCGCATGGAGTTCTGCCCAGATGACCGAGGCCCGAAGCTCTCGAGCCTGGAAGCGGCGCATGAGGGAGTCAGGGAGAGCCCCAAGGAGAACGGTGCAGGCACGAGTGTCAGCAGTTGTCCAGGCGATAAGTTTCGGGATGTGGGTGGCCATGTCGTCTTTGTATTTGGCGACGACGGCGAGGTGAGCGTTGCGGCCAGCAACCGCCTGGTCATAGGCTTCGACTGCTGCATCGTACTCTGCTTTCTTGATAAGGTACGCACGGCGGCGTAAGATGAAGTCTGCATCAGCGGTGGCTTGGTCGCCTGTGCGTTGGAGGTCGGGTTCAAGAGGAGGATCGCCGGGAGAGGGAGGGAGAGGAGGAGTCTCGCCTGGGTGTTCATGTTCGGTGGGGGGGAGTGCCTGGGGACGGCGGAGGAGGACATCAAGGACACGGTAGGGGGGAACCCATGCGTCGGAGAGAACTCGTCGGATGCTGCCGACGAAGGAGTGCCAATTGACGGCGGATTTGTCTGCGGCAAGCTGCAGCTTGTCGACGGAGGACGTATCAATAGGAGGAGGGAGGGGGGCGGGGGAAGGTGCGGCGGTAGCCATGAAGGACGGCCGCGGGGGGACCCGCAGTGGTCACGGAGGAGAAGGAGGTGAGGCGGCGACGAGGCCGCGGAGGGAGCGGCGGAGAGGCGCAGGCGGCGGCGGCAGCTGGCGCAGCCGCGGCGGTGCAAGTGCGGAGGCGGCGACGAAGCCGCAGGAGGGAGCGGCGCGAGCGGCGGCGGCTGGCGAAGCCGCGGCAGTGCAGGCGCGGAGGCGGCGACAAGGCCGCGGGAGGGAGCGGCGCGAGCGGCGGCGGCTGGCGAAGCCGCGGCAGTGCAGGCGCGGAAGCGGCGACGAGGCCGCGGAAGGGAGCGGCGGCGGCGACGGCGGCTGGTGGAGCCGCAGTGGCGTTGGCGCGGAGGCGGCGTCGAGGCCGCGGAATGGGGCGGGCGGTGGCGGTCGGCGGGACCGCGACAAGGCGAGCGCGGAAGCGGCGGTGGGGCCGGGGAAGGGAGCGGCGCGGGCCGTGACGGCGTGGGAGGCCGCGGGGCTGCGAGGAAGGGAGTGCTTGAGGAGAGGGGGAGGGTGGCGAGATAGCCGCGGGAAAAATGAGAAAGGAGGCCGGGGGTTGCGGCGGCCTTTGAAAAAAAAAAACTAGGATTTTTAAGAGCTTTGATACCATGTGAGAAGAAAAGTTAGAAAAGAAGTTATTGATGGATTGAGGAGAATGGGGGTTTACATAGGGAATGGGTTGGATCCTAGCCTAGGTGAGCATTATTGGACCCCACCCATGAAGTTGGGTTGGGGGATTATTGGTGGGGTCCAATAATGTTGGCCAAGTTGGGGTTGGGCCAACATTATTGGTGTGAACCAATAATTCTACCCAACCCAACCTTTGGGGTCCAATAATTGGACCAAGGTTGGGTTTCCAACCTACAAATTGGGTAACCCCTGCTTGTACACCCAAACTAAGTTTGGGTGCTTATCTCTAGCCTATCCTATAACATCTATGCAGGTTACAAGAGAAGATAGATTCTAACATCACCCCCATCAGTGAGGGGCGAGTGCATCACCCCAATCAGTGAGGGGCGAGTGCATCACCCCAATCAGTGAGGGGCGAGTGCATCACCCCAATCAGTGAGGGGCGAGTGCATCACCCCAATCAGTGAGGGGCGAGTGCATCACCCCAATCAGTGAGGGGCGAGTGCATCACCCCAATCAGTGAGGGGCGAGTGCATCACCCCAATCAGTGAGGGGCGAGTGCATCACCCCAATCAGTGAGGGGCGAGTGCATCACCCCAAATTAGTGAGGGGCGAGTGCATCACCCCAATCAGTGAGGGGCGAGTGCATCACCCCCATCAATGAGGGGCGAGTGCATCACCCCCATCAGTGAGGGGCGAGTGCATCACCCCAATCAGTGAGGGGCGAGTGCATCACCCCAATCAGTGAGGGGCGAGTGCATCACCCCAATCAGTGAGGGGCGAGTGCATCACCCCAATCAGTGAGGGGCGAGTGCATCACCCCAATCAGTGAGGGGCGAGTGCATCACCCCAATCAGTGAGGGGCGAGTGCATCACCCCAATCAGTGAGGGGCGAGTGCATCACCCCAATCAGTGAGGGGCGAGTGCATCACACCCATCAGTGAGGGGCGAGTGCATCACCCCAATCAGTGAGGGGCGAGTGCATCACCCCAATCAGTGAGGGGCGAGTGCATCACCCCAATCAGTGAGGGGCGAGTGCATCACCCCAATCAGTGAGGGGCGAGTGCATCACCCCAATCAGTGAGGGGCGAGTGCATCACCCCAATCAGTGAGGGGCGAGTGCATCACCCCAATCAGTGAGGGGCGAGTGCATCACCCCAATCAGTGAGGGGCGAGTGCATCACCCCAATCAGTGAGGGGCGAGTGCATCACCCCAATCAGTGAGGGGCGAGTGCATCACCCCAATCAGTGAGGGGCGAGTGCATCACCCCAATCAGTGAGGGGCGAGTGCATCACCCCAATCAGTGAGGGGCGAGTGCATCACCCCAATCAGTGAGGGGCGAGTGCATCACCCCAATCAGTGAGGGGCGAGTGCATCACCCCAATCAGTGAGGGGTGAGTGAGTGCATCACCCCAATCAGTGAGGGGCGAGTGCATCACCCCAATCAGTGAGGGGCGAGTGCATCACCCCAATCAGTGAGGGGCGAGTGCATCACCCCAATCAGTGAGGGGCGAGTGCATCACCCCAATCAGTGAGGGGCGAGTGCATCACCTCACCGCACCCAACCCATCCAACGCACCTTCCTGTGGCGTGTGGGGTCCGTCATGGCATCAAACAGCCTGGCCTTGGCATCCCGATACGCCTCCATGGTCCCATGAAAATCCAAATGATCACGCGTGAGATTAGTAAACACAGCGACGTCAAAGTCGATGTCCTCCACTCGCCCCAGCGTGAGCGCGTGGGAAGACACCTCCATGACACACGCCTCGCACCCAGCCTCCACCATCTGTGCGAGCAGCCTCTGGAGAGAGATGGCGTCGGGTGTGGTGTTGGGTGCCTCTAACTCCTGGTCCTTGATTCTACAAGGGGGAGGCGCGGGGGAAGAGAGGAGAGGGGGAGGAAGCGAGGAGGGGAGGACGGAAGGGGGTGGGGGGGAAAGGAGGGGAGGAGGGATGGAGGTTGGTAAAGACAGCGACGTCAAAGTCGATGTACTCCACTCGCCCCAGGGTAAGCGCGTGAGAGGACACCTCCAGTCCCAGCTTGGGGACTGGAGCTGCAGTCCCAGCTTGGGGACTGGAGCTGCAGTCCCAGCTTGGGGACTGGAGCTGCAGTCCCAGCTTGGGGACTGGAGCTGCAGTCCCACCTTGGGACCATAACAGCACAGCACAGCACAGCACAGCACAGCAGTGGACATGGCGTAGTGTGGTGGCAGCATTACTTGTAGCTGATGGTGCCGAGCAGGCCAGCAGGCACCTTCATGGCCTCGTAAATGCTCTTGATCAGGTACGTGGTCGTCGTCTTGCCGTTCGTGCCCGTCAACCCCACCTGCACGCCCGGGCGAGGGGGAGGAGAGGAGGGGAAGGGTGTAGGTAGAGGAGCGTGAGGGAGGAGGGAGGAGCAGGGGCAGGAACAGGGGTGGGGGGAGAGGGAGGAGTAAAAGGGGAGAGCAGGGGGAGGAACAGTGGGAGGGCGGGGGTGGAGGGGCAGAGAGGCTCATAGCGTCATAGGAGGAGCAGAGGAAGGAACAGACGGAGGAGCACATAACAGCGGCAGGAAAAAAAAAAAAACGTGGTAAATTTAATGTGGCAGATGGTGAGGGAAGGACACACCATGGCGAGTTTCTCTGACGGGTGGTCGTAGAACGCTCCTGCCAGTGCTGAGAGCACCGACTGCGTGTCCTCCACCTGTTTGTTGGCATGACACCATGCACCATGCACCACGACATGACATGTCATACCACACGAGTTGCCCATGCCACGCCACGCCATGCCACAAAATGGCACATCATCCCCAACCATTCCACACCACAGCACAGCACAGCACACCACACCACACCACAGCACACCACGCCACAACACGCCACAACACGCCACACCGCGCCACAACACGCCACACCATGCCACAGCACACCACAGCACACCAAGCAGTATGTGCCAGGCACTCGGTGACATCAGCAACGGCAGACAGCACAGGCGGCCGCAGCAGCAGCAGCAGCAGCAGCAGCAGCAGAAATAATAGAGAGACCACTGAAACTTTGTTCTAGAGGCGCCTCAAAACACGTGTACTGCCAGCAGCAACCTAGCAACCAACCAGTCAAGAACCACATCCCATGTTCTGCCATCATACCGAAACCCCCCCGCACACTGCAGGAAAAGAACACACACCACCACTCTCCCCGCCCTCCCATCCCTATCCCCCTCCACCCGGCAGCACCGCTCTGCACCGACCTGCACCACGGCGTCGACGCGCTCGTCCACCTCGACGTCTCCGCGTGAGAGCACGACAGCAGCGGCGCCCCTCTCTGCCGCGTCCCCCACGTACATGTGCCCGTCCACCGTCTGCCCCACCACACACACAAACAGATCGCCCGGCTTCACCTCCCTGTGGACGGGAGGGTTGAGGGATAGGGGAGGGTGGAGAGGGCGCGGAAAGGGCAGCAGAGGGTGGAGGTATGGGTGGGGGAAGGAGTGAAGGGCCCACGTACATGTGCCCGTCCACCGTCTGCCCCACCACACACACAAACAGATCACCCGGCTTCACCTCCCTGTGATGAGGAATGGGGAAAAAACATGGCAAGGGCAGTAGGAGTGGGGTATTGGTGGGCGGAGGAGTGAAGGGCCCACGTACATGTGCCCGTCCGTGGTCTGACCCATCACACACACAAACAGATCGCCCGGCTTCACCTCCCTGTGATGAGGGATGGGGAAAACATGGAAAGGGCAGTGGGTGTGGGGTATTGGTGGGGGGAGGAGTGAAGAGCCCATGCACATGTGCCCGTCCGTCATTGCCCCACCACACACTCAAACAGATCGCCCGGCTTCACCTCCCTGGGTTGAGAGGGTGGAAGAGAAGAGGGGAAAGAAGAATTGGGGCGTGGGCATGGTAGGGCATGGGGGGTCTGTATTCGGTCTCTGTATTCCAGTGATCTCAACCGACTAAGGCCCCATTCACCAGGCATAGCAAGGCTGTCCACCTCCCATCCCACCCCTCATCACACACCTGGAGTCAGCCTGAATGCCAGTGATCTCCACCGACAGGTCCCCATCCACGTCCAGTGCCTCAACCCCCGTGTAGTCTTCACCACACCATCCCCCCACCCCATCCAAATACCCCATCCCCCACCCACCTCCTTCATTCAACCCACCTGGAGTCAGCCTGAATGCCGGTGATCTCCAAAGACAGGTCACCATCCACGTCCAGCGCCTCTTCGCATCCCTCAACGCACTCCAACCAGCCCACCGGCCCTCCCTCACCCCCCTTAATACCCTCACCACGCACCTGGAGTCAGCCTGAATGCCAGTGATCTCAACGGACAGGTCCCCATCCACGTCCAGCGCCTCAACCCCCGCGTCCTCCAGGATCTCCGCTAGAGTGAGCGCGCCCGCGCCCCCCTCCTCGCCCGCCTCCGCCATCGCTGTCACCATACGCATGTCAAACGACCCCTCCTCCTCTTCGTCCTCCTCCCCCTCTTCATCCTCATCCTCCTCCTCCTCTTCTTCGTCTTCCTCGTACAACCCTTCCTCGTCGTCCTCCTCCTCATCCACCTCGCCCTCTTCTAGCTCTTCCTCCTCTTCCTCATCCACTTCCCCCTCCTCCAATTCCTCCTCCTCCTCCTCCTCTTCCTCCTCCTCGTCCACCTCTCCTTCCTCCCTCTCCTCGTTTAAAGCCCCTCGAGTCAACCTGCTCCCGCCCACTGCAGCGGCAGGTTGCCTAGAAGCTTCCGCTTTCTTCACCAGTCCTTCCCCCTCCCCTTCCCCCTCCCCTTCCCCTTCCCCTTCCCCCACCCCTATCTCCTCCGCCACAGCCGCCTCAACTAGCTCGCGTGGCGCAGCGCCGGGAGCCTGAGAAAGGCGCATGGGGGAAAGCGCATGGGGGGAAGCGCATGGGGGGAAGCGCATGGGGGGAAGCGCATGGCGCAGAGGTAGATGGCGCGGAGGGAGCGAGTATAAGACGGGGAACGGGGGGTGGGGACTGAGGAGGTTAAGAATTAACATACGAAGATATGACGGGGAAGGGGAGGATTCTAGTGCATGGGGATACGGCGGGTCAGATTAAGGACATGCGCGTCGATGACTCTATCACGTAGCAAAATACAGAGACTTTGTACATAGACTTTTAGTCACCACCATATGGCAAATTCGTTCATGCGAAGATCATGCATTTATTTGGTGCACGCTTATTACGAAGTACAGTGCAGGTTGATCTTCATTTTCTCCTAAGAGACATAATGCACAACGAAGCGGAATAACTCACCTGATACAACCTAATCTCCTCCTCCTCTCGCAGCTTTCTCGCCTCTGCGCGGATCCTCTCCGCGCGGCTTTCCCCGTCCATCCGCGCCTCCTCCTCCGCCGCCTTTGGCGGAAGGTCCGCGGGGTTCGGAAACTCAGACCCAGATCCATCCCACCTCCCGCTCCCCGCTTGGCAGGCAACTCGCCGCCTTGCTCGCCGGGGCTTGGCGCGCTCTGATGATACCTGCGGCGCGTTCCGCCGCATGGCGGGGGACGGGGAGGCGGCAGCGGAGGCGGAGGCGGAGGCGGAGGCGGAGGCGGAGGCGGAGGCGGAGGCGGAAGCGGCGGAAATCACCGGAGTCCTGCGGGTTTGTGGCTGCGCAGAGAGATCCTGCGAGCGTTTAAGAGATGAGAACGCGGCGGCTGAGGGACAAATGGCCGCGGAAGTTGCGGCGAACGACATCGCAAACGGACAAGCAGGACCCAGTCCTACGATAACGACGGGGCGAGAGGAGGTACGGAATTTAGCTAAGCTCGCGAGATACTGCAAGAGATTGTAGAGCTAGGACGGACTTCGGGGATGTTACAGAGCCAGAAGAGCCCTGGTAGTATCAAGGGCTTTTGAAGGGTAGATGTTTGGGGGGGATGATCCCAAGGGCGGAGCATTTGGATTGTTTGGGGTAAATAGTGAGTCTTTTTACTGTACAGTGCAAGCATAGATTCATGTGTCTCCCGAATAAAGAAATGTTGCTCAACATATACCACCATCCCCTGCAAATAGAGGTAAACATTTCAAAGGCAGGTAGTATATTCACAAGTATAATATCTATCCACAAAGAACCAATAGAACATATAGGGACTTGCTCCTACTAGACCATGCAGTGCCATTTGGCACAAGTGACCTTCTCAACTGCCTTTTGGCACAGCACCACAGTAAATCGATAAAGACTCGTACCGACCGACGGATCGACCTTTGTGGAGGAGGTAGGAGCTGCAGCATATGCAAGCACCTGCACCAAACGCACAGCTGCCCCATATGCAAGAGCCAACCAGCCCACCCAAGTCCAAACTTGCAAGCCCTCGTTCTGACGACCACCAACCATCCCTTTTACAAGACCTCTCTTCCTTTAACATTCCTTAACTAACTCCCCGGCCATAGGTTATCCCACGAGCCCCCTGGGCCTCCAGCAGCAGCACCTCCTGCAGCAGCAGCAGCAGCAGCAGGAGGTGATGAAGCAGAAGCAGAACCACCAGAAAAGGCAGTCTTCGCTGGTGCTCGGAAAGCAGCAGGCGCAGAGCCGGCAGGAGCGCCGGCAGCAGGAGCACCACGCAGCAGAGCAGCGTCAGGAGCGGGGGGAAGCCCTTTGCGTTGAGTTGGCGGCGTGCGGAAACCGAGCAGGCGCAGCACAAACCTGGCTACCTCACCGTACAAGAGACCTGCACGGTCACATAGCTGCAACGAAGGGCAGAGAAGCAGCAAAAGGGTAGGGGGAAGTGAGGAGAGGGAGAGGTTACCCCGACCAAATCTTAGCAAGAGAGTCTAGAATGTGAGAAGTATGAATGCGCAAGCGGTAATGGTTAGGCGCTTGTCGAGGCAGTGGTGATGTGTCAGTGACTAGACAAGCGTACCTGCAGTAGTGCTGTGATAAAGAAGTGGATGGCATGTGTATTCTCATCCACCAGTACACACAGCCGACCAAATGCCGTCATCACTCCATGAATCTGCTCAAGTCTCACCACACACACGCACACACGCATATGCATGCACACAGACACACACACAGCCACTCGCATGTTAAGCTTCAGCAGTAACTGCAGACACGCTCAAAGACAAAAAGACACCGAAAATAAGGAACACCTCAGTTCTAATCAAATCAGACAACCCAGTTGGTCGACCCCCTCCCCGGCAACCCCACTCAACAAGGGCCTGAATATATTCATCACCTTCCTTCCCCCACTAAGCCACTCACCACTCGCAGCATGGAGACCCAGAAGGTGGGCGCGCGCGGGGGTCCCTGGCCGTCCGGCGGAGCATTGGGATCGCCCCCATGCGGCCCCATGCCCATCTCGCCACCGTACCCCATGCCCATGCCCATACCCGACGCATACATCCCCCCGCCCATTCCCCCCATCGTCATCCCCGAACCATACATCCCCCCGCCGAGGCTGCTTCCGTATCCCCCCATTCCGCCCATGCCGTAACTAGACCCGTATCCTCCGCCGTACATCCCGCCAGCCCCGTATCCCCCGGCGCCGTAGCCGCCGTAGCCGCCAAGTCGCGACGCGTAGGGAGAAGAATAGGCGCTGCCGTAGGCGGTGCCGCCCGCACCGTACATGCCCCCGCCACCGTAGAGCGAGCTCATGCCGCTGCCGTAGCGGTTCGCCCCTAAGTACGCTCCGCCGGCGGTGCTGGCGGGTGTGCCGTAGGCGGACGAACCGTACGGGGAAACCGCGCTTGCGCCTGCGGGGACACGATGCGCGCATGGCACACGGGGAACAATCAGTCAGTGAGTCGTGGAGCGGGATGCGAGGAACAGGAACAGCGGGGATGAAGGAAATACACAGATGCAACAACTAGTGCCTGGAAAGAGAGCGGAGAAGAGATACCGGGAAGAGGAAAAACCACAGACACGGAAAGCGGGCATACAGGCATTTAAGGGAAGGCGGGGTGGGAGGAAGGGGAGAGCTCGAAGAGGGACAACCAGAAGCCATGGAAATCGACTCTAAGACGCAATCGAACTCGATGATCAACAGACGGCAAACAGCTGCAATAAGGCTCCTAATCGGCTTACCTGCAGCAGTGGTTGCTCCTTCCCACGGCCGAGATGGCATAGGACGGCCAGCAGCAGCTGCGTCTGCAGACGTTAACGGGGTGCTCCCAGCGGTGCCGGCCTCTGCGACTACCTGCGACGTGCTGGCAGCCGGCGCCGACGGAGCGAACGGAGACGACGATGCCGCTCCTGTGCTCTGCTGCGCCCTCTCCCAAGGTTTCGGCGGAGGTGGTCTTGCTGCAGACGGGGAGAACGGAGCCGGAAGCATATATTGCTGAGCGGAAAAAAGGTTGGAGGATCTATAGTCGATGGTAAGGACGGGGTATGAGAAGTGAAATGATAGTCATGCAAAAAAATTAACTTAACACCCAAACGAAGACTTACATGCCATAAATCACCGCTGAGGTAGTGTTGCGCGACTGGAGCTCGATGCGAGCGTCAGGGACGAAACTACAACGAAAAGAAGCTCAAGACTACTTCGCTTGCCCCGGAAACCCCGCGCTACAAGCAAAGTCGGTAACCCAATAGCGACCACACTGGAGAGAGGAAAACGCTGCCCATACAGGGACAGCCCAGTCAGACCTGGGAATTACGCTTTAAGTGAGGAACCACCAGAAGTTAAATCAACAGCTGGGCCAGCGGAGGATGGAAAGTACAGTATGGACACGCGATACCTCTCTATCACAGAATCCCCTATGATCTGCCAACGAACGGTGCTGCACAAACGAAAAACTTGTGACCAGCACCAACTAAGTCAGTGGATGGGCGAGAAAAAAAATGAGGAGCAACGAAGAGGAAAGGACGGGTCACATCTAGGGCTTGTCACGCAGGCTGAAGAGGGGCAGGCGGTGGAACCAAGTCGAACACGACAACACCCTGAGGGCTCCTGTGATTTAAAGCGGGTGGGTTTTGGTTGGGGAATTTTCCCAACCTTGATAAACATTCAAATCGATATAGTGTTGCTTGTGTGACATTTACCTTTTAGGTATATACCTTCAAAGATATTCCTTATGAGAATGTGGTCCGTGCTGGCCTGGTGCTTGGCTAAAATTCATATGGCTGGTCTGGAATTCTGGTGCGACGGACCCACTTCGCGGGACTGGTTCACATGATAGGCTGCCCATTTCACCAAACCCTAATCCCATAACACACGTGCTATCCTGTCTCGGGAATAGCAGGTGGCAAACACCAATTCCTGTTTTGCGGAATGTTGCACTCGCGATTTCGACACTACGGTAACCGCTGTCACCAACTTCGTCCACTCGGCGAAAGGCGAGGAAGCCCACGAGATGAAACCATCGACTCGCCATGTCAGAGAGCCCTCGTTGACAGAACTTCGGCTGGCGCCCGAATGGGCAAAAGCATGAATCCCAGATGTCGTGTCATTGTGCGACTGACAGCTCGCGTCTCGCCACCTCAGCGAGTGGTGCCGTGGCTGGGTTCACCAGCAGCCCACCACACCAGTTCAGTACGAACGGAATGACAGGTGGTTGATCCTTGGGCATTTATTTGAGCGGTAACACTCTTGGAGCTCGATTGCACGCGAGGTAAGCTACGTGTCGAAATCGTAACAGAGATGTCTTCTCATCGCCACCATGGTAACCAGGATTGCCGAGATGGTCAGCATTATTGCCTGAATGGTAATGAACAGTGCATCCGGAAATCCTGGCTGGTAACTTCGCGTTCCAACCAAACTGTACACCGTACAAGAAACTGTAAAGAAACTGACTACACGTTCCACGTCAGATTTGACTCAGCAAAAAGAAACTGACTGTCCGCGTACACACCCACAGAATGCGCAATTCTCTTTATAATAGCGGCCTTTACAATCCGCGACAGTGAAACCTCGATATGCAGAATTGTAATCCGTAAAAAACAAACAAACAAACATTAAACATTTATCATAGAATTAAACGCCACAAAAAAACACACACAATGTCAAACCGCAAAGCTATCCTAGCATTTTTTTAAGTTATTTTAACCTACCAGAAATATAATTCCGAAATGGGAGAAGACCAAGTAGCAATGTTTTTAATATGAGCTGAACAATATCATTTTTTTTTTGCAAATGACAGATAGTAAAAGTTGCATAAGAATGAAAACCTTATTTTATATAATACACCATGCATTCAAGGTTTGATATAAACTGTATGAACAGATGATTTCATCCCAGTTTTTTTAATAATCAGGCTACATCTGTTTTTCCTGAGTGTCCATAAGATATTTGCTATAATAGTGATAGTTAAATATATCGAATGCGTGCATGTAACTTTTCGCATTTGTAAGCGTTCGTATACTAAAGAGAATTGCGCATTCTGTGGGTGTGTACGTGGACAGTTAGTTTCTTTTTGCTGAGTCACACCTGACTTGTCCGGTGTACAGTTTGGTTGGAACGCGAAGTTACCAGCCAGGATTTCCGGATGCACTGTTCATTACCATTCAGGCAATAATGCTGACCATCTCGGCAATCCTGGTTACCATGGTGGCGATGAGAAGACATCTCTGTTACGATTTCGACACGTAGCTTACCTTGCGTGCGATCGAGCTCCATGATTGTTACCGCTAAGATAAATGCCCTTGATCCTTCGACAGCAAGGCAGCGTGACATTCAAGAGTGACGTCATCTGCCGGATAAATGACGATCGTCTGGAGGGGAGAATTGGTGGGAATGGTAGTAAATGACGCGTGCCACGTCATCGGGAACATTTGGTGGTTCGTATGAAGGGACAGCAAATACCCAAGAACGGTGGCAAAATGCTGGTCCCAACCTCGCGGGGGAGACTGCACTGTTACCTTTACGGGTGCTTCTCTAGCACACCAACCCGACCCGACCCCAAATCTATTTATACATCTTTGTATAGAGTCACACGTTTAGGATGTACCTGTTTCCCTGACACAAGGTATCGATAAGCTTGTACTCGCTTCTGATTCTGACCTCTCGCATCACTGACGGCCTGAAACCGCGGGAAAGCGCATTCCCCCCTCTTCTTTGTCAGACCGCCAAACCGCCAAACCATCCCCGAAATCTGCCGTCAAATTTGACGGGGTTCACTGAGGGGTTCACTTCACTCACTCGAATGCAATCCGGTAAGCGCGGACCTCGTTTTCTTCTAACCCAACAAAACTAGTTTTCCCCGCCACTCCCCGACCGACACCTGAATAGCTGACCGACAGCGGCACGGCAATCTTAAAATCAAACCAGCGCGATTCCAGAGGTGGGGTTGGTTGGGTGGTAGCGAGGGGGAGAAATTTCAACGAAAACGGTAGAGCGATATACTCTGTCGCTGAAGTTCCGCTCTTCTCTGGTAGAGTGGTATGTTGCGGAAAAGCAGCCACTGATTGTTGGTACTAAGCCTCATGATTTATCAGCCATTGCACAACCATCTCTCGTCTCTCGGCTTCAGTCTTCCTCTCTTGTGCGAACCTAGTAGCATTAGGAATAAGTCGGCCTTGTAGAGCTTCCTCGCAATAAATCACGACGCGAAAACCCCAGTTTGCCGTCTTGCCGAGCTGCTCATTCCCGGCTGTTTATTGCATCGTTCCGAATCAGCAGCGTACCTTTCACAGACGTCGATAGCCGTAATCATCTCCGCAACTAACCTTTGGTCGAGTATTGTGCTCTCGGAGTTCTCGAGAAGGCGTTGGGACCTCACGCAAAGCGCGTCTTGCACCAAAACTTCCCTGGTCTCCATTTCCGCTGTGAAGTATGGCCAGGCTCAAGAATCTCCATTCCCCATCATCCCAGTCCCAACAACTCCTCGCTCCAGCGTGTCGAATCTCCGCCGTTCGTCTCCCAATTGCGCTTCTCCACGGAATCCTTCTCCTCTCCTCTCTCGCAAACATCCATCCAGCCGTCGGTCAACCCACCCAGCCCTCCCCAGCATCCGTCCCCGTGACCCCAGCAACCGTAACCGGTCAACAGGCCATGTCCCTCCGGTCAGCTTCAGATTTCCAATCAAAAAGCAGCAGCACGACGAGCCCATCCAATTCCACTCCTAAGCCCTCCGTGCCCGTCCCATCAGTTCAGCCCACTCCCACCATCCCCACGACCCAAGCACTGCTATCCACGGACCCGCTTGCTGCTAAGACTGCTCCAGCTGCTAAGACTACAACACTAGCAAAGACGCCCGCATCAACGATTACTCCACCAGTAGCGAAGACTCCAGCAGTGGCGAAGACTCCGACACCAACGAAGACGCCAACAGTAACAAAAAGCCCAACCGTGACGAAGACTCCAGCAGCGGCCAAGGCTCCGGCGGTCGCCAAATCTCCGCCACTCCCGGTCATAGCCTCTCCATCTCAGCCGCTCACTCCATCTGTCCCAACACCGGCCAAGGTACCGGCTAAAGTTCTGGCAACGACCACGCCACCAACCACGCCGGTTCCTCCGCAGAAGCCGGCGAAGCTTATCAATATCAGCCCGGCTCTTGCGGTGTGCATCCCGGGAAAGACGGAGGGGCAACAGTGCCGCATGTGCGACCAGCAAATATCAGGGGAAGACAATTGCTACTGCCTGGGAGACCAATGCATGACTTTCTGCAAGGTATCACGCACAATGGATTGCAAGTCTTGCTACAACTTCGACGGCAGCGGCTGCCTGTGTAATCGCGATGGGCAGTATTGCTCCGTGGCGTGTTACGAGCCTGGTGGTTACCAGCGGCCCTGCAAGCGGTGCAGTGACGCGAAGAACAATCCGTGCCTCTGCGCTGGAAACTTCCTCGGCTGCCAGGATTTCTGTTTCTTTGCGGCGAACGCGGGGAAGGCTTGCCGGTGCACGGATGGATCGCTTGGTTGCACCTGCAAGTATAGCGTTTCTCAAGCTAGAAGTGTGTGCGCTCGATAGAGTTATGGAGCAGTATGGGGCTTGCAGGATTTACTATGAGAATTTTTGTAATCAGTTCTTTCTGCTCTCGATGCATTCATATATCAAGTAATCTCACTCGGCGCTTGCATGGCGCTAAAGCTCCCGTACTTTTGCGTTCGATAAAAACTCTTGTATGGTTTCAGTATTGTCCAAGCGGGTGAATACGGTACTCTGATGAATACGGTAGGACCAAGACTTCTGGCATACAGAAGCCACTAGAGCAGTTGCAATTGGCTGCAAATGCCAGTCAGTACGGTTGGTTAATGGTGCCACAACAAGCCCACAGAAATGTGGCCAACCCACGACCAAACTCAGAGTGGTGGGCAGCAGCAGCTGCAGAGCGGAGGGCAGCAGGAGCTGCAGAGCGGAGGGCAGCAGCAGCTGCAGAGCGGAGGGCAGCAGCCCAATCAGAGCGGAGGGCAGCAGCAGCTGCAGAGCGGAGGGCAGCAGCCCAATCAGAGCGGAGGGCGGCAGAAACTGCAGAGCGGAGGGCAGCATGAGCTGCAGGGCGGAGGGCAGCAGCAGCT